CCCGCGCGGGGCTTTGGGTTGCTCCGAGCCGGGGTCTCTGAGCCCGGCTATCCCTGCCCGCTCGGTGCAGCCGCCTTCAGGGCACACTGGCCACTGCACTGCGGCCGCAGGGCTGAGCAGAGCCCCAGAAATGACATTTCCAAGGCTCTGGCACAAGCGGCTCACGTGGCCAGGCGTGGTGGCCAGCTCCCTGCCTCGGTTTCCCTCATGCACCAGGATGGTCCCTTGCTCTGCCCTGGCACTAACTGGCCTGCGAGCCCCCGGGGCCATTCCCAGTGGGGTGACATGGCACAGCCCCAGCACAGGGCAAGCCAGCTGGCATCAGGGCGCATGACATTTCCAAGGCTCTGGCACAAGCGGCTCACGTGGCCAGGCGTGGTGGCCAGCTCCCTGCCTCGGTTTCCCTCATGCACCAGGATGGTCCCTTGCTCTGCCCTGGCACTAACTGGCCTGCGAGCCCCCGGGGCCATTCCCAGTGGGGTGACATGGCACAGCCCCAGCACAGGGCAAGCCAGCTGGCATCAGGGCGCAAGGGGACCCCCGGCTCGGGCCGAGCACGCGTAGGGTGAGACTCACCCCTGGGTCCTTCCCCTTCCGAAAACCCCCCTCCGTCTGCCCAGGGAGCGGTGGCCAGTAGATCTGAAACACAAAGGTCCTGTTGGAGCCAGGAGCGGGGACAGCAGGGACCCAGCCTTGCAAACAGACGTCCCCAGGCTGCCGATGGTGTGGTGATGGAGAGAGGGAGCGAGAGCAGGGCCAACAGCTCCCCAGAGCCCACCCAGACCAGGGCTGCCACCCCATGACCCAGGGCAGGACCCCTCCTCCTGGGGAGATGCAGCCCAGCGGTCAGAGCCCGCAGCCAGGCTGGATTTGGGTGGTCACACTGGGGACTGCCCAGGCTGGCCTGGAAGGGGGTGGGCTTGCGGGTGGCATGGGGAAAGGTGCTGGGGGACAACAGGGAGTGATGGAGCCCAAGTCCCCCACAGCCTTCGGCAGCTCTTGGACCAAGGGCAGCTTGGGTACACAAGCCCTTGACCCCATCGCAGTGACCCAGCACGCTGAGGGGCACTTCACTTCCTTCTCCGCTTTCTCCAGCTAGAAACGGTCCAGAGCCACATTTGAAAAACAAGAAGTCAGAGCAGAGAGGGTGAAGGAGGAGGGGAACCACCGCTCAGCATCGTCGCTCCGGTCCATCACCTCTCGCACTGAGGAGCCAGGAGAGGTCTGGGGGCTTTGCCAGCTGAGCCCTGGCACAGCTCGTTGCAATTGTGGATGCCTTCATCTCCTTGTCCCTGCAGGCCTTCAGCTGTATGTTTGGCCCATGAAGGGGGTGGGGAACAGTCGCTCTCCCGATGGCAGCTTTTTAGGGGAGCGGGGTCTGAGACCCCACTCAGCACCCGGACTCACGGATGGGCAGTGCCACCAGCTGCCACTATGCGTGGCAACTTGCCCTGCGCCCACCACGAGCAGCCCTCCCTCGCCAGGCAGCACGAGTTTTCAGATGCATTTCAGGGTGCCTGGGACGGGACATCCCCAGGGCCGGTCTTGCTTCAGGGTGGCTTTGCCTGGCTCAGCCAGCCACTGTCTGCTTGGAGGGGCGAGGGGTGGACAGGGCCAGTGTGGGGACGGAGACCCCGGGATCTCAGCAGGACCCAGCTCACCTCCTTGGCGTCAGCACTGGCCCTGCCCAGGAGCAGGGAGTAGAGCGTGTCCTTCCCTCCGACGAAGAGCCGGTCGCGGTACTCATCCAGGTAGAGGGAGCGGAAGCCCAGGAACCCTCGGTGGCCGAAGAAGAGGATGGAGCGGTTGGTGGCCAAAAGCTCTGCCGAGGAGGGAGGAAGGGTCAGGAGGAGCCATCCCAGCCCCAAAGACCCACAGGGCGTCGTAAGCACCGCTCGCTCCAAATGTCCCCTCCCAGCTGCAGGCACAAGCATTTCCCTCGAGCCTGGGGGACGTCCTGCTCCCTGGCAGCCCCTGCCACATCCCTCCATTTGCTGCGCACGCCAGGGTCCCCAGACACCAGCTCACAGCCCACCCTGCCAGGACAGCACAGCCCCACGGCCCCGAGCTGTCAGCCAACGCAGCGGCAGGAGGGAAAAGTGATGGATAACATCCCATAGCCAAGTGCCCTCTCACACCCCCGGGAGCCCCCCCAGCTGGGGCCCAGCCGTCAGAGGGTGCTGCAGCAAAGGGGCATCGCGGTGAGGAGAAACGGAGAGGGGTGCACGGCACTTGGGGAACGGCACCGGGACGCTGTGTCCCTGGGATGGACATCACAGCCCAAAGCAACAGGGTCCGACGGTCAAGGGTCCCAAAGCGGGCCCAAGTCCGAATCCTGTGAGATGCCGAGGGGACCCCTGCGGTGACACCACTGTGGGGGCAGTGGCACCACTGGTTCCTGGTGAGAAATGACTTTTGGAGTCAGCAAGCCAAAAACCCTGGCACGGTGGCACCCATCCAGCTGCCATGGAGGAAGAGAGCGAGAGGGAGCAGCTCAGATTCACCGGGCTCTGAAACCCTGTCCCAGCGACCGCCCCGACCCTGGGCCAGGCCACTGCAACAGCCGGGCGGAGGAGGAGAAGGACAAAGCGCCATTGATAAGCGCAGCCATGTCCCCAGACACCCGCTGCTGGGGAAGGCTGCCAGCAGCTGCTGCTGAACCCCCAGCCCGAGCATCCCCCACGCATGTCCCCACAAGAGAGGAGATGGCACTGGGACAATCCCAGCTGCCAGGACACTGGGGTACCAAGCCCTGCTCTTGCTGAGGGGACATTTGTCACCTCCAGCGAGGAGGTGGCCAGCAGCGCAATGCCCCCACCCTGGTGGGAAATGCCTCTTCTGGGACCCGCAAGGAGACAGGGTCCATCCCCGGGGGGCGATGGCCACCTCCACCACATCACACGCAGCTCCCATCCCCACCAAGTCACTCCAGGGCAGTCCCAGTGCCCTAACTGGTGGTGCTGGTGGCATGGAAGGATACAGCCTCAACGGCTCCATCCTCACCGGGAAGACTCCTGTGCCTGCAAGCACAGCTGGCACCAGGGCCGGGCCCCTCCAGCCCCATCTCCCCGCAGGCACCCGCCTCCCCATGCTCTACCAGCATCTCAGGTCACCCCTTATCGCCAGGCCCAGCCCGGGAAAACGCTGTCGTCTCCTTCTATTCTTGCCCTGCAATAATATTTTCCCAGCTCAGAATAACATTGGCAAATTCATCGGGCCCCTTGTATTGTTTCAGGCAAGGCTTCCTTCTCTCCCCCAGCCCCGACAAATTCCTCCTACGCCTCGGGCTGCACCAGCTCAGGGCGCCTTCCCCTTCCCTGGCTTCATCTCCCCAGGGAGCAGCACCCTGCCACGCTCCATCCATCCCCAGCACCCCTTTACCCCCAGGGTGGGGGTCCCATAGAAACCAGCCCCCAAGCAGCGCTGCAGCAGGACGGGGGTCCCTTGGGGGAGACAGCGCAGAGCTCGGCGGGCACCGGGCTGGGCTGCGATGCTCCTGGGGCACGCAGCAGCAGAGTGCTCTTTCCCCTCTTACACGAGCCACTGCGGGAAGGCAAAGCAGAAAGAAAAGAGCAGCTTGAAGGGAGAGGGGGAGCTGGGGCTGCGGCCACCCCTGCACCCACAGCACGACGCCTGCTGCTATGGGTCCCCCCCAGATGTTGCTCCAAAGCCAGAGCCACTGGCAACGCACAGCCCAGGCCGACGAGCTCAACGCAAGCAGCTTCAGGTTGCCCAGTTTTCATTTCAGAGTCTTCTAACAGCGTTAATTGAAATTTTCATTTTCTTCCCCTAGGGAGGAGGCGGTGGCAGAATTTGTTTCATGGGAAATTTCAGTTTCTGTTTCCAATTTGGAAGAGGAACAGAATAATCAGATTAAGAAGCAAAAAAAATCTTCAAAAGGTTGCTTGCTCACCGCGGGAGGCCAAGGAGCCTGCCCGGCCCCAGGGAGCCCCTCGCACCTGGGGAACGGCACGGCATGGCCGGACTTGGGACTGGAGTGGATCAACCCTGAGCCAGACCCTGAGCCCCACAGCCAAGCTCTGCTGGGACCCCAGACCTCCTAGCCCTGCTGCCAAGCCCACCCTGAGGACCCCACCACAGGGCAGAGCCAGGAGCCGTGCCAGGCTCCTGCCACCTCCCAGGGTAAGCGGGGTCACTGCGTGCCTCAGTTTCCCCTTTCAGCATGGAGGGAGCTCTGCAAGAAAGCTGCAGCGGTGGCCCTGGGGCCAGGGGAGAGCCAGCCCGTGCTCCAGGGCCTGGGGACCCCCAAGCCGGGCAGCACCGACGGCAGCTTTGCCCCGGCGCAGGGATGTGCTCTGCAGCTCCCAGGGCTCCCCGAGGGCTGGGCCGCCCCGCTTTGGGAAAGGGGGGGATATGCAGCATGCAATTTAGCGTAGTTAAATTTTTTTTTTAGAGCAGGTTGATTGCTCTTAGGCAAGGAGGAGGAGATCGGGGCGCTGTCAGGTTTGGCTCGGAGCAGCCCCCGGATTAAGCTGGCAGAGCAGGGGGTGCAGCGAGCCAGAGCGGGATCGCAGGGAGAGTTTTAATTAAAAGCAAGCGCTCCCAGTGCAGCGCCCCGAGGGCCCCCCAGCACCCACAGCCCAGCACGGCAGGGCTCGGAGGGTGCCCGGGCTTCGCGGCACCCCGGGGACCCTCCGGGCAGCTGGGGACCGCCCACCCCCCCCCCCGAAGCGTGCGGGATG